AGTTTGTGCAAGTTGAAACCGCAAAAGCGAACAGGCTTGCCTACCTCAGCAGACTCTGGTTCAGATGTAGACCAGATTGATCGAATCTCCCTCACCAGCCTTTCCTTGACCGGCTCTTCCGCGGTGATGAGCATATCGTCAACGTAAATACCGAGCAAACCGTGAAGCACAGGTTCCGACTCTGTTTTCACGTCAACTCCCCCCGATAGCGGTTCGCTAACGATCTTCCATAAGTTGCTGTCCGCGACGCATTGCTTCAAGGAGAAGCGCCGGCCGCAATCTTCCCAAGTATGCTGTCGAAGCAACATGTCACGATGGGAAGACCATCGCCGCGGGGCTTCCGCGAGACCGTAGAGTGCCTTTAGGACAAGCCACTTTTCAGATTCCTCCACAAGCCCTAGACTCACTAGGACTCGGGGTGGAGTAACGACCACAATCTTGACCTTGTTGCCTTGCACGCTTTTGAGCTTTCTGACCAACATATCAAAGTCAAGACGACCCGAACTCAAATCGCCGGGAGACAACACAGCCTGGCCTTGGCGATCCTGATACAGCGGGGCTCCCAAAAAGGCAGTTTTGATGTCCAGGGTAGCGTTACCCCAACCCTTGATTGCCGCGACACTTGTCTGAAGTCGCACACTGACCCCATCAACACCTCCGGCATAGAGGTCCTGAGACCTCGTACTGCCCTTCGCAGCATCCTCTGCAGGGGGTTCACCCTCTAGGAAGTTCCCGCATCCAACTATCCTAGCCCTAAGTCTGTTCGTGATTGGCTTCTGGGTGTACACACCCTTCGCGGGAATTACCGACACCTCAGCAAGCTCCTCCAAACGTTTAAGCTCCTCGGGACCAATAGCCCACACAGCCCTGTGCAAATCCTTCAAGGCAACAACCTCGTCTGTCAGCGGCTGCCTCCATTGTTCAAGATTTTTCCAGACCTCAGCCTGGGAAACAATTCTCGTCTGGAGAAGCGCCCCCGGCACTGCACATGCTCCTTTTCCGACAATCTCAGGTGTTTCAAGGCCAAAGTCCGGATGCAAACTCGGAGGGGACTCCCACGGGACCAAGCCGTCACCAAGCGCAAACACAGAACCACAAGCAGGACCCAACCCAGGCGAAGGATCATGATCAACTTCTTGTGAGGATTCAGCTGGAACCTTGATCGCCCGCACTTGAGGCAGGCTTGTTTTTTCAACCTCACACCATGCTTGTTCAAGCTCACGCTCAACCGACGCCAACTTATGCAACGCAAACTTGGAACGAACAAGCTCAAGCTCATGCTCACAACCATCCTGCTCCTGCAACAAATTGGCGATCTTCAAGTCTTCTTGCAACTCCGCGACCAAGCATGGCGTCACGTTTGTTAGTCCCTGCCTCAGCTCCTCAATCAACGCCTTCTCCTCTTCACGCACAAGCTGCAACAAGCGAGCAACTCTCTGATCAAAATCCTTCGGCTCCCCTGTGCCTTCCCACTCCCCCTCAGAGGAATCCTCCTCTGAGTCAGTGCTGATGTCAAAATATTGTGGGTCTCGGCCGATCTGTGCCACAGGCTTCGGACTCTTAGGCTGAGGCAACCTCAGACGGCAGCGGAAAGCCCAGTTCTTGAAGAGCCTGCATGTCTTGATGTTTGCACCTATGTAGGCACCTGGGAGTGTAAGCCACAACAACAATGCGATCGCCATCGGCGGCTTCTATAGCATGTCGTTTTCGAGAATCAAACCACACAGCCTTCTCATCCCCACCTTGAAAAGTACCCCAAAAACCATCCCATTGAACCAAATCCTGAGACCCTGAATCCCCTTGTTCCTCAATCCACAACCTACCTCCACCAAAGCGGCTGATAGGGACCAACCAATTCTTCGTGTCCTTCATGTTCCTATCGCTGTGCGGGCCGGCTTGCATACCCCAGGTGACCCTCAAGGCCGCCCAAGAGTTGTGATCATCCTGTGAAGAAGCCAAAGAACCAAGATACCGATTGAGAAGCTTTACCATGTTGGGCATGAGTTTTGTACGATTCGTGAGACCTACCTTGTTTCCATACACGAAAAAACCCAAAGTCCAAGCCCTAGCTCCTACACCCTTGGCGGCAACGTCCACGGCTCGAGATTTCGCCTTAAAGTCTTGAAGAGAACGTCGTAAGATGCTCTCTACTTCCTCCCGCTTGGGAGGCCCATCTTGCAAAAGCAAATGCTGACAATACCTTTCTGCTTGCACAGGTGTCCAGCAATCCAAGCGAAGAAGATGATCCTTTTCACTTTGAGACAAGACAGCATGGACTGTGGGACTACCTAAAACCTCATAACGGTCTGGAGCCTGTCTTTGAATAGGCATGACTCGAACATCCGCGGAGCTACCAACTGGCGCTGAAACATCCAAAGCCTCGTCTTCTCCCTCAGGGGAAAAATCAATCACCCCCGCTCCACCCCCATCATCTTCACAAACACCATCGCCTATGGCATCATCACATGCACCATCACGATCCAAAAAGGCCGTATCACCAGCATCTCCGCCCGATAAATCACCACCTTTTCCACCACCCGACTCCCCCCACGGCGACAAGCCGTGTGGATGAAGCACCCCTGGACTCTTACCTACAACCCTTCTTCCAGGAGCAGGCAGATCTTGAAGATCCTCAACATGTGCGGTGCCAACAAACCGAACTGGCTCTTTGACATGTGTATACACTACAGGTGCCACATACAGCTTGGACTCTCCTTGATCCTGAACCCTAATGACCGTAGCATTTGGAACCCGAACTGAAGGTGCCACAGCCACGCCCTGAAGAGCCTTGCTACTCCAAGGTGTTTTGCGTGACCACTCTCGCTTCTTGACTGTAACCACCGTGCCTGAAGGAACCAAAGGTCTTTTTGGAGGTTCCGCTCCAAGCTTTGCGAGCCCATGTCGAAGCTTTTGCTCCCCCCACTGACGGGCCAAATGCGGCCAAGAATCTGCTGAAAACCCACTTTGAATCATAAGACCCCGAATACCAGCCTTACATCTACCAACCACACCCTCAACCCGACCATTGCTCTTAGGATCTGACGGTACACTGGCAGTCAAGGCGATGTCCCTGGAGAGAGCCCACTTCTCAAGCAAGGAATTGGCAAATTCCCGACCGGAGTCTGAATGAATGCGCCTCACAGTGTAATTCAGCAACCGGATCCTAGTGTAGATACGTTGCAACCCGCGAAGAGTGACCGAAGCCCGTTTACTGGAGATTGGCTCCACGAACACAAGAGGAACGACCTCCACAGGTTCTGTAAGGGTAGCTATGGTAGCCTTCCATCTATCATTCCATCGCTGAGCTCGCGCTTTCCAATCAGGATCTAGTTCCAAAGAGACTTCCTCCTCCTCCGGAGGCGTTTCAACCTGAAAAGGATCATCGGCATCAGCAGGAACGGGTCCCTCAGCGTCATCATCAGCCCACTCCGCAGGGATCGGGTGATCTGAGGTTTCATCCCCTTCAACCAAAGGTTGAGGCCTACCCTTCCGAAACAACGGAACACCAAGAACTCCTATCAGCAAATGTCTAGCCTTCCCCAGCTGATCCTCACCGGGCTTCAAAGGTCCAATAAGATCAACATTCAGAGTGAAGGCATTGCGGTGCTGGTACTTTTGACGAAGATGAAGGTGTGCACGCACACTTGAAGCGAGGCATGTCTGGCAATCCCTACGATAACCCAAATGGTCTCTCTCACAATGCTCAATGAAAGCACGATCGTTCTGGGACAGCGTGCGAACGCACGCCTGTTCCACTTGCATGGTCCTCTGACGTTCTAGCGCTGGGGTCGTAACCCACTTCTGTTCCACTTGCATGGTCCTCTGACGTTCTAGCGCTGGGGTCGTAACCCACTTCAACACTGCCCTGCCGATCGCTCGGGTAAGCCCGTGAGCCCACTTGGCCCAAGATTGAGATTGGAGCATTCGATCCTGCAAGGTCGAGGCTTGGGTCTCCCCAAAACCACCCGAAGGATGTTTCCTTCTATGAAGCTCTAAGTACAGACCCCAATCATTTACCAGCAATGTGGTGGGCTTTGCCGTGCAGTGCCCCAGGGCTCCTTGAGAGAAAGACGCACGAAACATCCCCTTTTCTCGTTCCAGAAATTTGATTTCAGGCCAGGCCCATAGACTCGCATGCTCAGCTCCGTCCTTCAAGTACTCAGCGGGGTCTGTTGGGTTTTCCAACACAAAACACACACCCTCTTCCGACGCTCCATGAGCCACATGATGCAACAAAAACATACGGAAGTACATCACAGTATGTGCGTCTGTGGTCCTTTGCTCCCCCCGAGTCAATGGCGTGCCTTTGGTGAGCGTGCCGAATCTACCAGGCCCTGTTCTGTCCCGAAGAACCCTAGGACCACCATCCTGTTCCCCGCGCTCCCGCAACCTTGAGAATGTGGCGCAGGGTGGACCTCCCACCACGGCAATGACCTTCCCCGAACTGCACAATTCCAGCAAATACTGATACAGTCCATCCGACAAGATATCCAGCCCGCGCTCAAGATCCACCGAGAGTACATACACAGAACTAGGCCACTGACCAAAATCTTGTGGCTTCGTCCTTCCAGAGAACAAATGAAGAACCACCTTATCTGCCCTCTGAACTGCCCGGCGGACCCTTCGATTGAAGGGAACATCCTCACCCTTCAAGTCGTCCTGCCAAACGGGTGGAACCCAAGCCAAGATCCCCTTAGGACAATCAGGACTAAGTTTCTGCAACCACTCCAGCATGGCATCCACAGAAACGGGCTCATTAATCCCCTGTTGACTTACTCCCAGAGCAATAGCCTTCAACCTCAGCGCTCGTTGCATCACCAGAGCTCTCTTGTCTTCTATCTCAGCAATCAACTCTTCAGTGATTTTGGCACAGAGCTCAGGACAGCGGTTTACCATTACGATTGGCAGCTTCCCACGCTTGGGATGGATGACACGGCAAGTCTCTCCCTCCCAGTTAACCTTGCAATCAAGTTCAGCCGCCAACACCCCCATCGGAACGATTGGAGCAACTGGCTCCGCTGAGATAAGAGTCCCTACCGGAGTAAGCAACAACTCAGCATGCCCGAGAGCCAGAGACACCTGGGTGAGGGTGCACTGATCAATCTCCTCCTGACTCTTCGCGGTGCGCAGTGAGTTAGTGGCACCCCCATCCAAAAGACCACGAGCACCCTTAGGAGGTTCCTTGACCACCTTTGTGAGATAAAAGCCCTCCGAAGCACCGGGTGACGATTCCTCATGAGCGCTCGACGTGTCTTCAACAGGACGGTCCAATCCCGACCCACATGATTCCGTATCTGAAACACGCGCCGCCGCGATCCGGAAACCCTTCAGCAGCCTAGTTGCTTCGGCGATCAAATCCTGAGACGACGCTTCAGCAGCCCTTGCAACCTTAGGATCCGCACCTCCCGAGCTAGAGCTAGCATTAGTGGTGGACTCCTCGGCCGTCACCTGTCTCACCTGAGACGCCTTTCCATCCCCTTTGGAAGCAGAATCTGGAACAGAGCCCTTTGGCCCACCTTTGCCAGCACCACCCGCGCCTGAAGAAGAGGATCCTAACTCCCCCCGAGGAGCATCCTCGCCCTTTGCTCCACGCTTTCCTTGAGGCCTACTGCAAGCATCCGCCTTATGCTCTGTAGAACCACAGGTATAGCAACGTCCCTCAGCCGAAGCCTTCCCGAAATCATGATAGGACCAACAGGACCTTCCCATCTTACAACCACCCTTCATGGCATAGAATTTGCAAGGAGCCTTTCCACCCGCTGCGTTGTTCGCACCCGCATTGGAATTGGATGACCCGCCTTTTCCAGTACCCTGACCTCCCTTTCCCTGAGCAGCGGCTCCAGACTCAGGTCCAGATGATGAGGCGGCATCCCCACCTCCCTTGGTCCCTGCCTTGGCAGCTGCCGTCTGCTCCTTACGCAGAGCGGCGGCCCTCTGTTTCTTTGTTTGCCTTGGGGCTTCCTCAAGCTCCACATCCGCACCAGAAAGTGCAAGCGTTTCCATTTCCGCCTGCAAAAGCCTGGCATAAGCCGTTACCGAAGTGACGGTGGGACAAAAGTCCAATTGATGCTGCGTCCTAGAAATGTTGCACCGAAACCCCAGCTGAGGATTAGAGGAGATGACAGGTTGGCACAGCTTATCCAGTCCCGCAAGAAGGATGGCAGGATCAGGAGGATTGACACCGAGATCTTGGGATCTGCTAAGCCATCTGTGCCATCTACGCAACTGGTCAGAACAATGGCGAGCATTTGCTGCAACCCCTGGCTCTTGTAAGTTGGAGATTAGCTTCTGCCTTTCCCCCAAACCTCCCGGCTGAAATGCCAGCAAAATCCGGAACACCGCATTAGGGCTCGTGAGAGCCTTGGTCACCACCAATTCATCCTTGATGCGAGAAGGTAGACTTTCCAAAATCATACCCAACGCACGAGCTTCTAGGCGCGACAATCTAGGATCGAGAAGGTCAGGAGGAGTTTCGCAAACGACAAGAGATTTCTCCAACGGACCCGCCTGCTGCCATTTCATATACGCCTTTTGGGCTACTTCCATGACCCTCTGCCACCAAGCCCAACTACGCTCCGAAAGATCACTCATTATCGGCTGAATCTGAGTCAACCAATCCGAAACAGCAATGCAAGCGTCCTCAGTACTTGGATCCGGTAAAGGCGGCAACTTCCACCATGTCCTATCCCCCGGTGTGAAAGCATTCCTACCCTCACCCCTCGGGGACGACGATCCGGGAACGGAGCCCATGCCCATTCCGGGGCCCAAGTTGCCCCCACCAGGGGCAGTGAACAACCCTCCTGAAGTTAAACCTGATCCCTGATGCCCAGAAAACCCTCCTGAACTCAATCCCGCGCCCAGACCTCCGTACGAGTCAAGTGGCTGCCTTCCGGCTGCACCCGAACCCCTAGGACCTAAACCTTCTGAAGGAACTGAGCCCCAACCTGAAGGTCTCAATCCAACTGAATCCCAAAAGTCACCGTGCATCGCGCCCTGCACCGTCGCATTGGACCACTCTGCTGATTGCGCTATGGGATTCAAGATCCTAGCTTCCTCACGTCTGGATCTGTCGGGGGATCCAAACATCGGCGTAGGAGTAAGAGGTGGAGTACCAGATGGGACCCTAGTACCGCTAGGAGTATGGGGACTCGGACTACGCCTAGGCGGGGCAATCGGATCATGAACAACTGGTGACCCTCTTGCGCCTTCAACTCCAGGCCCATCCTTACTTTTGAAAGACGCCTCCGCAGCCCTCCGAAGACCCTCCTCAATACCCGCTTGATAATCAGGAGTAGCTCTCTCTTCAGGCGGCACGAAGCGACCCAGATAGGGGACATGCTCTGCAGTCCATCCTATCTCCAAACCACCAAACCCCTATTCCCCTTCACCTGTTGCACCTGCATCCCTTGTATCTCCCGAAGCGGCAGATTGCATCGCATCATTCTCCATCTGTTCTACTCTACGCAACAATGTTCTTTGACCCTCGGCTAGAACCCGATTCTGCTCATACAACCCTACCAACAGATTTTTCATCTCTTCAACAATCAATCTCTCCCCTGGTCGCATACCAAGCTGCTGAACGGTGTTACCCGCCTCCACAGGTGCTTGCCCCGGTGCTGTATCAACAGAAGCCTCCGCGGTTGTAGCCTGATCAGTTTCACGAGGAGCTCGGTTCGCCTCCAAGCCACCACCCTGACCCGACATCGTTTCCGCACCCACTGCTGATTCCCTGGCACCAGTAGACACCATCACCGTAGCCGTATCTGCTTCACTCGTACTAACTGGATTCGCTCGCAGTTCTGTCGAACTGCTGCCAGCGCTATCTGCCTGGACATTGCCCGCTGCGTCAAGATCTCGAGGCCGCGCTTGTTGAAGAGCATGTTCCGATCTAGCCCTTTCAGACCAAAATGGATTAGCTGTTGCATCCCCTCCCGACATCTCGGTGTCAGGTAAAGCCAGAAAATGCGAAGCATCTCCCTGCACAGCCCTTGTCATGTCTGACCCTTCAGCGACGCCTCTACGTCTTCGTGACCCCAAATCCATGGCAATGCCCTACAGATTAAGCCTCGTTTGGGCTCATAACCTCCGAACGGAGGTGCGCCTGTTTTGTTCCTTGATGTAAAAAGGCCTTCGGAGTTACACACTCCTTAGCGGATTTCCCCTCGTGGAGGATGCAAGTCTGCTCTCGCACCCTAAACCCCTAAGCCCCTAAACCCCTAAACTCCTAAGCCCCTAATTAAGCCCCTAAACCCCTGAACCCCTAAACCCCCAAACCCCTAAACCCTAAACCCCCCCAAGGCCATTTGCTTTGTCTACCTCATCGGAGAGCTTCCGCCTCGCCGCCTTCGCGCGGCCGTGGCAGCGCAGGCGCTGGTCACGACGCTCGGAGAAGAAAGGGGATTAGGGTTTATAAGGGCTTAGGGGCTTATAGGGTTTATAGGGCTTATGGGCTTAATGAGGGGTTAGGGTTTTGGGGTGTAGGGTTCAGGGATTTAGGGCTTAGAGGCCCAGGGGGGGGCTTCAGCAGATTAGCATTTAATTAGGGGTCCAGAGACGACAACACTCGGAGAGAAGCTTGTTCTAGAGGGGGGTTAAACGGATACGTCAAGGGATTGTCAAGAGTGCTTCAGAACTTTAATTACGGGCTTTTGTAAGGGGTTGAAGATGAGAGTTTATCGAGTCTCGCACAGCTTTGTTTTTGGACAACTGTGGCGTCGAGGTGGCTTCGGTACGGGACGCTCCTGATGTCTAGAGCATGCTTACGACGAGTTCTTCCCTGCCCAATATCGACGCGGGTTGGGAATCGACGTCAGCATTAGCCATGCAAGAGGACTCGCACGTGCAGAAGGGGGGTGGCGATAGGTCAGATCACCTCAGACACACCGCCCACCTGGTTCTGCGGAAGTGGTACCCCCAAGGCACCCAAACGCCCGCCCACACCCCAGCCCCGCGCTCGCAGTCTTTCAGCAAACCCTTAGAGTGTCACAACTTCTCACGGTAATATGATAGACATGTAGGGATCAGAAGAATCAGGAACAGAATCCCTGCATACTTTGTATATGATATACTACAATGTACCCGAAAGCCCTGTTGTAAGCATCAAAGCCCCCAATATTCCGACGCACGGCGAAGAAGCTGAGGTTTAGGGGTTTTACGGCTTACGGTCGTATGAAGGATGGTTTGCAACAGAGTGTTGCTAATTAAGTGTAAATTAGGTGGGGCTCCTTAGACTACGTATTCGTGAGTGCATACTTCGGAAGCACAGGGTTCTTGATCAAAAAACTTCCGCCGTAATTCACACGGCTTAATTCCTAATTTTGCAACCGCCCTAAACTCTTAAGTGCTGAACTGCAAAGTTTTGGGCCAGTGCTGGTTTGTAACATTGGCATAGCTGCTTTGAATCACCCGTAACCTGGTACCGAGAATCCCTGCCATCCGCACACTTAGTTTGGGGTGTGGCTGTTGAAGAAGAGAGCATAGAGACCTAACAAATCAAACTGTTCGAACCTTCTCAGTCTTGGCCCCTAAACCCTACAACTTGCTCAGGCCCCGAATCCTGACACCACACGCATTGCAGCCGGGGGTTTAGGATCTGTTAACTCTTATCTTGGGGCTCCGTGTAGGTTCCGATAAGTGTACTGCGATGAGAGGTTACAGTGTCTACAGGGCGGTATACAGGTTCCCTTCAGGATTCCACAACCATAAGGGATCTAGACCCTAAAGCCCTCCAGCAGAGGTGTTGGACAGCTGCATTTACGCTGGTTCTTCTCAGGCATCCGGGCTAAAGCCCCCGCCAATTCCTGAGGGTCGCAATCTCAACCCAGACACCTGAATCCCCAAACCCTCAATTTCTAGTAAAATCTTAGCCCCAAGCCCTCTGAATCCCTACACGCTCAGCTCTAACGGCTCCAGTTTGAGGCCTTTCGACGACCCACCTGCAGTCATCGTAGCTCATTTGGGTGGATACCTTGATTTCTACGTATTTCTATGATAGGATCCTGACATACACTGACCATAAAAAAGGCAAATACTGCAACCCGAGAAGGATGGAGACTAGATGTAAAGCCTCAGAAGTTTTTCTTCAAGACAATCAAACAAGCTGGAAGCCTCCCATCATCCACAGAACTTTTTGAAGCAAAACATGAGCCCTTCAAGCCCTCCAACTTGTTCTGCCCTGGGAGACATGGGGTGTATGACAGGGTTTAGGGTTTAGGGAGTGCGGTTTGGGGCGTGCGGCTTTCCAACGAGGCTTAAGGACATGATCGAAATCTTACGGGACAGTAGAGTGTCCGTTTAGGGATGCCGGGTCCTGAATCCTTGCCTAGGCCGTTGAATCTATGCAGCAATCAAGTAAAAGAGCGGCATTGACATTTTCCTGTCAGTTTTTCTCAAAGGCTATTAGTAGTTTGCAACCCAAATACTGGCCTTAAGCACTGGTAGGATGATCAAAGGCCCCTAATGTAGACCCCTGGGCTAACAGCTAACAGGGCTGCGCTAGGGATCCCTCACAATTCGGTGTGAATTTATCAGGCATTGAATGAAAGAATGACCCCCCCAACCCTATAAGGCCCTGAACAGACCCGAAACCCTGAAGCCTTGAGGGGATAGCCCCCTCTGGCCCCCACACAAGAAGACCCTGAAACCTTGGATCCTGGGCCCTGAAATGAAGCCCCTTCGAGCCCTCATCAACCCTAAACCGGGTTTAGGGTTTAGGGTTCCCCAACCCCACCATGTCAAAACTGCCCTAAGGCCTTGGGCTTCAAATCTGCTCTACGCCACCCGAATTGATTCCGGGTATAGGGTTCCCCAACCCCACCATGGCAAAACTGCCCTGAGGCCTTGAAACCTTAAAACTGCTCTAAGAGCCACCCGAATTGATTCCGGAGGCTCTGCTTCAGCTGGCAGACAACAACCTGCCGGCAGGCAAAGGCTTCAGGCTTTGGTTTGGGGCTTCAGGGTTGTAGCAGCTTCCGTTAGTAAAGGTTGTAAACTTCAACTATTTTGCAACTCCTGTCATGTTATAAGAAATTGATACTTACTTTCCAGCCAAGGAATTTTTGGGCAACTAAGCTTTGGGGTTGCTTCTGGGGGTCTGTTCCGGGTTGCTGATTGCGGCGTAGAGAGTAGTATACGGGCTATTACACGGAACTAGCACAAGTTTCAAGACTTTGAGTTTGGAGTTTGGGTGGTTTCGGGTTTGGGCTGGGGGTAACGCGCAAACACCCTAGACCCCAAACCCCAAATCTAAGAAGCGGTAAATCCTGCACCCTAAACCCTAAAAGCAAAAAGCTGAAAAGCAATACAAGTGCCCCTGAAACACTAAACCGGAAGTATACGGTCAGAAATCCCTCATCTGCAATCCCTGAATCTTAAAACGCAACTAGTAGCGCTTTGAAGGAGCCTTTAACGCAACCGTTTAAGGCCAAAGCCATTAGCGGAGCCTTGGCTTTAAAAGAACCCTGAATCCCTAAATCCCCAAATCCGAGTTCCACGAGCAGGTCGAAAAGAAGCAAGACCTGCTGTGCTCCAGAGCGGTTCGGGATCTCAGCCATCCTTTGGGGAAGTCTTCTGAAGGTTTAGGGGCTTTGGGTTAAGGTGCTCAGGGTTTAGGGGTTTTCGGCTTTAGGGATTAGGGGTTCAGGGTGTAAGGTACAGGGCTTGGGGCTCCTTGTTTAAAAGCCCCGTAAGGCATACATACTGCATGAAGCATCCGTGCTAATACTCCTTAACGAAATGAAAGGATTTTGGAGTCAGAAGCTTGGAGAGGGGTTAATGAAAGGTTGATATCAATCGATATCAACATAGATGCCTGACTAGGATCCGTTGTTTTGCCCGAAGGGTACCCCAAAGCCCTATTGTCTTCGTTAAGGTCTCTATGTTGCCGGGCTTAGTGCTGCTGGTGTGGAGAGACGCGTGCGTAGCCTTGAACACCCTGATTTGTAAACCCTGCTTTGCTGAGGGCCCTAATGTTAGGATCCCAACTCTAGCTACTCGAATCCTTTCATCTCTGAGGATTTTGTAAGTTTAGCAATCAGAGTTCTGCAACACGGGACTCGTTTGGTGTTGGGGGCATTGTACATTGCAAA